AGCAGACATGGAAGCAGATTATCTGTTTTTTTTTTTTCTTTTTTTTTTTTCTCTCTCCCTCTCTCTCTCTTCCCTCCTTCTCCTTTGTCCCCCCCTCCCTCTCCTTCTTTTGAGGAAGTAAATAAAAATATAAAATAAAATAAAAAATAAATAAATAAAAAATAATAATAAAAAAAAAATAAAATAATAATAATAATAATAATAATAATAATAAAATAAATAAATAAATAAATAAATAGATACAGATAAAGTAGTCCCCCGCAGAGGGGGGGGTGGAGGAGGGAATATATTAAAAAAAAAAAAAAAAACTTTTTGTGTCTATGTACTCAGGTTTTATATTCCAAATTATTTTAGGTCAAAAAGTTTGCATATCAACTGGCAGTAACATATACTGTAACATCAAATATCCACAATCATGGGGTAAGAATCAGATGGCAGGGGCTGACTGGTTCACGATCTTTATGATGCAGAACCCCAGCCTGTCAGTGAAGAGTCCAGAGCCAACCAGCCTCACACAGGCCACAAGTTTTAATCGCACAAATGTGTAACGTTTCTTCAGCAGCCTTGGCCAGGTCATTGAGAGATACAACTTTGATGGGAGCGACATATGGAATGTAGATGAAACTGGTGTAACAACAGTCCAGTCACCAAACCATGTTTTTTTTAAGCATACAGCATGATGTGGCCAATGTTTTTGCTTCTTTTCTCTACCTGTTACAATTTACACCAGCATGTGTTGCAACCTTCCCCAGTAGTGGGGTAGGTTGTAACAAAGGAACACAGAGTATTTGTCATGAACTCATGAGATCTGTGATATTCTTGCAGAGGTTTGACTTGGTGCAGTTTATAGCAAACAAATGTGCATACTCTATATAAAAGTTTAAAAACTCTAGCTAAAAAATTCAGTGAGTTATAGGTGGAAAGCAAAAAGTGTTACAACCATACCCAGTCTCCCCTACATTGCAATGCTTTAGTCAGTCATTTTAGTCCTTTCAGTCAATAGGGTTTTGTTTTCATCTGTTTCCTGTCAGTTTTTTTAACGTATCTGAAATCCAGCAATGGAAGTTTAGCTCCTACCTAAATCCTGGTCCTCAGCAGGTCCTCCTCTGCTGACCATCCTCCTTCACGATTAAATGTCCATTGTGCTGTGAGCAGCATGTCACAGGTTACAAAATAATTAAATTATCTATTCTACTTTACTAGTTTATCACAAACAACATCTTTAATATAATTTGGTTTCGAAGTTTCAATCTATTAACACAGCCTTAACCTTAGCTATTAGCAAACAAAAAAAAAAGAAATATGGGGTTGGAATCTAGCAAAAACTCGCAGTAATAAAAACATATCGGATACATATTACAGTATTCAAGATTTACACAAATGCATATGTAAATAAACATTAATTAACCTTTTTTCCATCCCGTTCATACACATTACGGAACAGCATAGCTGACATGCTTTTACCTAAATGACTCACCCAGGATTTTCCCGACAAACAACTGAAATATTTGGACAGAACCCAAACGATGGTTAATCGTATGACTGTGTATTTCGCCTCAGCCCTACAAATTTGTAATGAACTTTTCATCCACTTCACCACACCTTCGTGCCCCTCCCTTCTTGTCCGGTTTAAGCAACATGTTATCCATCATTAAAATATACCCCCATTATTAACATCTGGAATATTATAAGTCTTCAGATAGGAAACTGAATGCAATACTTCATACTTAATACAAATCAATAATCTGGTGCAGTATTATGTACTCAGTTAACAACTATACACTATACATCGGCATCGTTAATACAGAATAATCAGAGACAATGTGTATCCGATTAAACACAACGCACTCGTGGATTAAGTGTACATGCCAATATACAAGGAAATAATAATAAAATCAGGGTACTACAAATGAAATGGTATTATCGCGAAACACTTAAGTAATGCAGTTATTGGTAAGCGTGCAATTAAGTGACTAATATGAGGCATGTATAATGCAACACTTTCATATATATATATATATATATGTGTGTGTGTGTGTGTGTGTGTGTGTGTGTGTGTGTGTGTGTGTGAAACTGGCATCAGAGCCTGGGGGGCTATGAGTTTCTTCCATTTGTAAAGTATTTAAAATCAAAACTACAACTTCATTTCCTAGTCTAAGCTGTTTTGACCAGCAAACAATTACAGCTTTGACTTGTTAATTAAAATAATTAAAGTATGTAATGACATCACATCCAGGGTGTACCCCTGCTAGACTGGACTTGTAGATGTTGCAGTCTTTTTATGCCAACAATCCAGTTATAGGACTGGTACATATCACAGTTACAGTGAGATTCTCGTTTAGAGACAGGCCTGTAAATTCATATTACTCCAGCTTGGATTTCTGCCTTGGTATGTTATCCTTCAACTTTGATTTCATTCACAGTGTTAATCCTTTTATTCCTCTGTGACCAACATTTATTTTAGTACAGTAGGTGCTTTGTGTCTTTTGTGTGAATTATTATTTTCAATTGCATAAATGTATACCTTATAATAAAGTAGGTCATAAAAATGTGCTTGTTATTTTTAGGAGCAATGTGTTACGTTTGATATTATGTGTTATAAAACATAATGGTTGGCAGTTGTTTCTGGTAAGGTACTTTAGAATTTCAAACTCTGCTACAGTATGTCTGTGAATTGGCCACTGGTGCAATCAAATATATCCCCTATGCTTTTATATTGGTAGTATTTTCTGAGTAGGTCATGTGAACTATCAAAATACACCACCTGTTGATTAATGGTAATAAAATTTACAATAAGAAGCAATAAAATTTGGTTGGCATTACAGGCAGATCCTGGTGAGGGCATGACTGAGAATTGGCCAGAGCATTAAATGGCATCATTCGAAGCGCGCCATGGGGGTGTCTGGTCATTCTTCCATCACTTACCGGCACCTCAGTTACATACGGTGGCTCATGAATGTCAACAAGCTGCACATTTATGAAACACTTACAGATTCCAAAAATGAGCCGCAATTTCAGAAAACACAAAGTCTGAGTATGTGTGACAAATTAGTAGAGGCATTATAATTGACAGATGCAGTGCAAATCTTGAAAACACATGCAAAAACAACAAAAAAATGCTCCAAATCTACTCAAAACACAAGAAGTTTCAAGGGGACAATTAAATGAGAAGGACAATACAGAGGAGAGGAGGGACAGTTTCCCAAGTCACAAAGTAGTGAGATCTATGTTATTTTGTTAGCTGACTAACAACTATGTGTACATGCACTCAATAGTCGGTTTATTAAGAATAAAACAATTATGGCGATAAGGTGTTCATATGTGTTTTTAATAATCTGATTACTATGTGTACATAATTGGACCCATTCAGTTGCATGGTTCCAACTAAGTAAGTTGCTAATGTAGCGACTAAAAAAAAAACAACTATGCTTTTGAGAAATATACCCCAAGTCGTTAAGCGAAATGGTCACTAAGCAAAAATCACTGTAACCTAGACGTGACCGTGACTGTAACGCTGTCTCATTCAGGTTTTCGTACAGTTACAACAGACGGTCTTTTATTGTCATAAATAATGGTATCGAATTGTGCAGTACACAGACAATTACACACACTGATTATTTTTGCAGTATGAGCCATTTCACAATTAGTGCAAAGTCTTGTTAATAGCTAAGAAAATTGGCCATTTCACTTGTAACGAGATATTGGTTTAGTATTTTGGGTTCATGGCAAGCATGGGTCCACATGTGATTTAAATGAGAGGCTTGTGTCTAAGGTGGCACCTAGGCTATGGGCTGAGCTACTGAGAGAAAAGTTCAGCCCCTCAGAGTAGAGTGTGGAGATTATAGCAGACCTTTCCGTAGACTTGCCTCCATAAACAGAAGCTCAGTTTTCTGTGTTTTTAGTGACAAATGTTTTCACTCATCCAGGTCTTAACTTCAATACGGCCATTAGCTAAAGTGACAATAGATGAGGTGTCATTGGACGTAAATGATATGTATTTTTGGGTGATTAAAATGAACCACACTGATTCACAGCCTATTTGAACAAATTTTAAAGTGCTCATTCACTACTATGTGATGTAACTGATGCCACTTAAGTTGCTGAACTGACTTCCTCATACTTTTTCTCATATTTGTTCCCAGGATCAGTAAATATCAGACATACCTACCTTTTGAGCTGCTGATCTCCATTCAGAAACATCTCTCCCCTGTCACTGCCAATGTCTGCTATGGTTTATCATGTAAGTCGGTACATAATGCTACATCAGTCCGGACTAGACGAGGGTAGTGGAAAATTAAGTTTGATTTGCTATAGCTTCTTCTGTAATGAGCAGAAAATAGTGATATTAGTAAATTTGAGGGGTGCATTGCTTAACACTGTTGCTTCATGTCAGGTTCCGCGTGTGTGGAGTTTGCATCACACCTCTCGGGCCAGGCTTCAAGTCAGGTTCCGCATGTGTGTAGTTTCTATGTTTCCTCAAAACTTGCTGAGGCTAATCGGGGTCACCAAATTGCCCGTAGGTGTGTATGTGTGAGGGAATGGTGTGTGAGTGTGCCCTGTGATGGGTTCGCGCCCCATCCTAGGTTGTTCCCTGCCTTGTACCCATAGCCTCAGGGGTAGGCTCTGGACCCCCCGCGACAAGTAGTTACAGAAAACGGATGGATGGATGGATGAATGGCGTAAATTTCGTTTTTCAAATTGCTCTTAGTGTACTGTATGATTGTGTGTCAGAATGGCAATATCTGTCTTTTGTTACCTGCGATAGGCTCCAGGCTCCCATGTCCCTCTAAATTTCCATGCTATCATTGGCATTCGTGATATAACCCCCCCCCCCCCCCCACAAAACTATGGATGGTATTACTAATTTCAGAATTCTACGACCCCTTGAGAGAAATTCATTTGTCTTGTGATCTGCTCCCAAACATCAAGTGCATACATCTTTCATACCCAAAAAACGCGACAGTTTACATACAGTTCAAGAAGGGGTCAGATATCTGTGGACACCAGCTACTTTTGTTAATTGGTGGCCCACTATCAGTAAAGGGCAGGGTTGCCCTTTTTGCAATCCTCCTTGTGGTTTCATTACCTTGTCTAAACAAGTTAAATTCAGCTACTTTCTTTATCTCACTTCCCCAAACTGTATGTCCCATTTCTTTTCCCTCCCTCTTATCCTTTACCAATAACATACATGCATTTCTTATATCGGTCCTTTGCAGTAGTTTTGCTTCTCAGGTCAGGTCTGTACCTTGATTCGGTCATCTTGCAGAATAAACTGTCACATGTTAGTTCCTTATAAAATGCTTCTTATCTAAAGTGAAAACCTGTTACTTAAGCAAGTTTGCATTATTGCATGTGTTTGATATGTGTTTAATATGTTTAGCATATTAAATGTTTTGTTGTAAGTTTCATCATTAATTACTGATTGTCTGTATTGCATTTGCATAATCATGTATCTTTTTACCACATATGAACGTACTATATTAATCTGACTGATTGATTTACAGATAGAATAACAGTCATAAGTGCAGAATCCATTCAAGTTTTTTTTGGTTTGGGATGAAGTCATGAGTAGGAGACAATGGAATATGCAATGTTTTCAAGTGATGTTGCATTTTACAGGTGGAGAACCAGTACTCACATAAGTTCAGAGTCACGGTTGTGAGGGCTGAGAATGTCACCAAGGGAGTGTGGGGTGATTATTGTAAGTACAATGATACTTGTTGAGTAAGTTTCTCTAGAAATCCTCACCCTAGAATGCGAACAAAAAGATTCCTGGTTGCTAGTTGTGTTTATATTTTCTGTGTACTATAAATATTAATCATTCTGTGAATCATTCTTTGTGCTCACAGTGGACATCCCACATCCTTATGTAAAGCTGTGTGTACCAGCTGTCTCTAAAACCAAAAAAAGGACAAAGCAGATAGACAACAATGTGAATCCAGAATGGAATGAAACTTTTGAATTCATATTGGACCCTAGTCAGGAGAATGTTCTAGAGGTAAAGCCTCGGTGCTGCTGTGCTGCTGATTATGCTGCAAATGCTGAAATACCCAGTGATGCAATACCAGCAGCTGTTATTTTATTGTTACATTTGTAGGTCACGCTAATGGATGCCATCTACGTTAAGGATCAAACACTGGGAACTGCATTGTTTACTATCTCTGATATTAAAGTGGGACAAACACAACTGATTCCCCTCCTCATTGGTAAAGTAAGGATCTTTAATGAATATAAAAAATCACATTACAGTTTTTGTTGGCAAAGGATTATGGGAAAAGAAGGAAGTTCCTGTAGCTGTGCTGTTCTGCTACTTATTAGATCCCTGAGATTCCATGAATATTGGCATCTTGGTGCTTGTCACTTTGTTAGAGCTGTTATTTTGAAGTTAACATGTTTGCGTTGTTTTGACAGGCTACCAAGGTGTATTTAGAGATGTCCCTGGAGGTTTGGTATGTATTAGTAGTGACACGTCACACAGTTTGATGGTCAGTTTTGTCTGACTTACAGCTTGACAGTGAGCTGTTGGCATGTGACTTTTATCGCGTTTATCGCTACAGTTATGCAGTCATTTTAGGTCGTAGGTAACACAGGATTTTGATTGGATTTAGTTCATTATGTTTGCTATTATGTTATTTTTTAACCAATTTATTTCACATATTTAAGTTCACAACATGCAAATAAGCATCTCAGGTTTTGTTATGGACACTTCGGTCTATAACTGTTCTTAGTTGTTTTTGTGTTTGTATATTTAATTATAAATTTCAAAATAAATTCTGTTTTCCCTGTTGTACCAAAATTGAACCGAAGCTTGAACCCAGAACCATGTTTATTACTGAACTATGAATGTTGTGTACTGTTACGTCCCTAGTTCACATCAATACACAGTGTATAACTGTGTTTATCTGTAAATATTGGGGACCTGGTTCTAATTAGTCTATTTTATTCCATTTATTTTATTTCTGCTTATTATATTATTTTCTTTTTATTTTATGTTCTGTGTTTCCTGTGAATATATGCACCAATACTGCCAAAACAAATTCCTTACAGGCAGTGTGTGATGGGCTAAAGAGGACTTTGCTTTAATTGGAGCATGCAAACATCATTCGCTCCTGCTTAAAAACCAAAACCGAAAGACAGAATCCAAATCAAAAGGCAAATCAGAGACAGGTGAGGATCAGGCAAGGGCAAAGAACAATTAGAACGGGGCAAGGCAAATAAAAAAAAACTAGGAACAGAACAGAATCAGGTTCCAGAAGACAGATATCAGACCAAACGTGCAAACTCACAGAAACTGGGAAAATCTTGCACCAAATAAAAGTCCAAGGCACACTAAAATAGACTATAAGTCACAGTTGGAAGGAGCATGGCTATAACAGGCGACCAATTTTTAGTTGGCAGCAGAGGAGGGATTCGTTTTAGGAACCAGTGGAACAGATTTTTCAGGTCGGTGCACTTGGGCAGACTCAGGCAACAGGCACTCCCAGGGAGGCAGGTCAGACACATCAAGGGAGGAACCATGACACAGATGTACCTGGCCAATAAAGTGAATTCTGATTCTGATTCTAAAAAAAACAAACCTAAATCAAGATCCAAGACAGTATGTTCCCCCATCAAAATTTTGGTCCTGGCCATCAGATTTTTTTGGCACTGATACTGATACATGACACTGAGACTTAGGTCTCCTAAGCTTACTCCAGCCCTCAGTGTAATAATGGTTTACTGAAGCCCCCATGCCAATTTCCTGGCCTCCTTAGTTCTATCAAGGATCTTCGCCTGAGCTTGGCTCTCTGTGACAAGGAGAAGCTCTTCCAGAAGGCTCGTCGGCAGAAGGTCATGCTGGGAATGCAGAAGCTTTTGAACACAGAGAAGAGCTGCTTCCTCCCCACCACCCCACAGGAAGTATGTCCCTATGTTGTTATACTGCGTTCAATTTACCTCGCAGGTCGGAACTCGGAACTGGGAATGACGTCACACACAAATTAAGTGTCCCAGTACAGCAAGTCAACAAGCCATTTAGTAGTACCAGGGGCCTATTCAAAAAACTCAGGATTTCTTGCTTATCTGGATAACTTGTCGGATTTAATTTACCCGAGTTAAAATGACCTTTATATTTGTTCACTTACTATTTAACCCAGACTCTTAAATCTGACAAGTTGTCCACTTAAGTAAGAAATTCTGCCTCCATTTGGATGTAATACAGTGGACCAAATGTGTTTTGGTGGGCTTAGTTGTTACAAATACCAAACATTGTCATTCAGCTATTTCATATGTCAGTCATGTGATGTATGAAATCACCAAATGATGCAGAAAGTGAACATAATATACACAGCATTGTATTTGATGACAATAAAGGATACTGTCAGTAAACATTGTAAACATCAAGGTAGTTTGCTGAATCAACAAAAAGCAAACAGAGAAGTACAGAGTGCCCGCGTGAAATAACTAAAATTTGTATTTATTTACCAGTTACTGTTGTGTCCCATTGGGTGGGGCTGTCCAATTTGCGGCAATTAGTGCCTTCACTTGCCCCACTCTCATTAAAACCCCTTCTGTTGTCGCACTCAGTGTGAGGTACAGTATAGTTTGCTTTCCATGAGCCTAACTAAGTATTTCAGCCCTATTCTGCATTTACTCAGATTCCTGCCCTGCCTTCCCAGATCCTGCTCCTCCTCATTCCTGCTTCCTTTGAACCTGTTTGGACCCGTTACTGTGACCCTGATGATTCCAGTTCTGTTTGCCTGATCTTTTTAATTCAGTTTCTGGGTCTCCAAGTTTCTTTCCAAGCCAGACCTCACAGAATACCTCGCATACACAATGGACTTGGTGGAGACACAACAGCAACTATAAGAAGCCCAGGTCCATAACTCACAGATGTTGATAGTGACAAATCAGCTCCTGGAAGGGCAAACCGCTTGGATCCGCTGCTGTTGTGTTGATTATCATCCCCGAGAAATATGATGGGGACCTGAACCAGTGCCACTCATTCCTGGTGCAGTGCAGGCTGTATGTTGATGAGCATCCTGTGCAGTTCCAAGAAGACAGTGCCCATGTGCACTTATCTTGCTAATGACTTGTCGCAAGTGGGCTACTGCTCTGTGGACTGAGAAGGGCCCTGTGTTGGACTCCTCCATCACCTTCCTACAGCAACCGCTGTCGGCAGGTAACATCACCCACTGCACAGTTCCTCTGACCTTGCAGGTAGGGTTCCTCCATCAGGAAACCATCCAGCTACTGGCTCTATCAATGTCACGAGATCCACTCATTTTGGGGCACCCATGGCTTAGGTGTCATATTCCGCAGATTGACTGGCAGACTGGAGAGTTGAGCTCCTGGTCCCCCACTTGTTTCACGCAATGTTTAACCATGCCCTGTCAAGTATCTTCTGTAGAGAGCCCTTTCCCAGAGAACTATTCTTTCACCCCGGCTGAATACAAAGAATAGCAATACATTTTCAGCAAGTCCTGAACTTTCGGGCTGCCACCCCATTGACACTCCAACTGCACCATCAACTTGCAGGAGGATGCTCTGCTAACCAAAGGACGTTTGTTTTCTCTGTCCCGGGCTAAAGTGGAAAACATGTCTGTGTACACTACCAAGGTCTGCAAAAAAGGTTTCATCCAACCCTCCACTTCCGCTGTGATGTCCAGATTCTTCTTTGTGAAAAAAAAGGATTGTGCGCTCTGACCATGCATCAACTACTGGGCCCTCAACACTATCACGGTAAAGTGGAGGGAACCCTTGCTGCTCATCCCGCCAGGATTGGAGCAGCTTCAAGATGCCCAGATCTTCACAAAGTTGGATCTCCACAGTGCATACAACTTTGTTCGCATCAGGGAGGGAGACAAGTCGAAGTCTTTCTTTATTATCAACGTGGAACAGTTAAAATATTTAGTTATGCCATATGGTTTGGCCAAAAGTTCAGCTATATTTCAGTCCTTTAATCATGAGGTCTTGAATCAAAGAACTATGGTGGTTTCTTGGTTTCGCCAGTTTCTACTCTTGATTCCACTCAGTGGCTGCCCTGCTGACCTCCCATCTGTGCGCCAAGATCCCTGTTCTATGGTGGATCCCAGAGCTGAGGTAGTGTTTCACTGCCTGCAAGATCTGCTCTATTCTGTACGTATTCTACGGCAACCGGACTTGAATCTACCCTTTGTGGTTAAGGTGGGTGCTTTTGAGGTAGCCAGGTTAGCTGTCCTTTCAACAGAAGGTGTCGGGAAAGCTTCACTCGTGTGTCTTTTACTCAAAGAAGCTAACTCCCACAGTACGTAAAACGTGGGGAACCAAGACCTACTACCCATCAAGCTGGAACTACAGTAGAGGAGTGGTGCCCCTGGCTGACAGACCACGACAATCTAGAACACATTCAGAATGTATGCCCATCAAGCACGCTGGTCGGTTTTCTTCATGATTCAGTTCTAAGGTATCCTATCTCTCAGGCTCCAGGAACATCAAGGTAGATGTGCTGTCCAGACAGTTTGAGCAGCCTGTCCCAATTCTCCCTCATACCTGCTTTCTGGGGTCAGTAACCAGGAACTTGGATTAATCCCTGCAGTAGGCCAATCAGGAAGAAACCCCTCCTGTAGACTGCTCTGCAGGTAAAGTCTATAAGTCTGTTCAGCATTCTGTTCTGCTACCATCCAGTGGATACACACTTCCTGCAGCTCAAATTACCCAGGCATTGCCAGCACCACGCAGCTGGTTTCCCATCACTTCTGGTAGCCAGCTTGGAAGAAGGAGGTGGAATCCTATATAGACTCATGTCCCAAATGCTCTCATCTCAAGTCCACCAACCAGCTTCCATAAGATCTCCTCCAGGTCTTGCCATGCCTTCACACCTTTGGTTGTACCTCTCTTTAGATGTCATCACTGATCTCCCCTCCTCACAAGGGAATACCATAATCCTCATGGCGCTGGATTGCTTTTTGAAGATGTGTTAGTGAGGTCCCCCCAGTCAAGGATTGGCACCAATGATGTGAGGGGGCCTGGTTGTGGGTCCACTGACGGCTACGCACATGAGTGCTCCAGCAGAAACAACAGGCAGACCACTTATCATGTCCAGCCCTTCCTTTCTGGCCAGGTCAGTGGGTATGGCTATCCATAAAAAATCCCACTTTATAGGACTATTCCCCGTGGTGTGAGGTGTATCCTGTCACCTGCAGCTGTCAAGTACTTACTGCATCTCCCCTATCTTCCATGCTATGCTCCTCAAGCTAATCCGCTACAGTGTCAGACATCCTCCAACGGATGCCCCCATCCAGCCTCTGCTCATTCTTCCCAATGGTGAGATGGTGTACACCATATGACGTCAAGGCCAACTCCAGTACCTCATGGACCAGGAGGGCTACTGCCCTGAGGGATGCTCCTGGGCTGTGGATGTGCTCGACCCGTCCATGATTGCAGCCTTCCATTAGGTCCACCCTTCCAGACCAGCACCTTGTCCCTGGGGCAGCCATCGGGGGCGGGGCTTGACAAATAGCAGCAAACATCACCTGCTCTGCTCCCTTTAAAATCCTTTCTGCCCTCGCATTATTATATGCTTTCCATAA